CGGGCGCAGCATCCTAATAAAATATTTAAAATTTAAAAATAATCTTTCTTCATAATATTATTCTTTCTTACTGATATATCATCATTGTCACTGCATTGCTGTTTCCATGGATGTAATATATAAAATCTAGCTGTTTCACGACAAAAACTAAGAAAACATTGCTTTTCACTGGACCAGTCAACTTCGCTAGCTAAACGTAATAAGTATAATGGTAGTCCATCTAAATCTGGAAGAAATCCCTCTGAAATATAAACATTTATGTTACTACTAAAGATTCATAAGTAATATCACCACAACAAGTACCTAGCAATAAGGGTATTGACAAAATATTTGCATCTGTATCAATTTCAATAGAAAAATAGTCATTTAACATTGAAGCTCTAGATGTCAATATCTCAGTAGCATCACGAGCCAATTCTTCTTTTGGTTTATCCTCACTTCCCTGGTATCCAGATTCTGAGAGTTCTAATGCAATCATTATCAACTCATAAATAGATAATGCATTCTATGTATTTAAGACATAATACATATAATAGCTTATTTTAGTTAAAACTGAGGTATATTAAATCATAATTGCAACTTACTGAAAATTGTATAACACCAAAATTTCCAAATTCGTACATCATAATTTGATAAAACATTTCTTGTCTAAAATCAAAATAATAGTAGTTACTTACATCAATATACTTATTTTAACATTTAAACTTACAACACATTGTTAGAATTACAAATGTATAGGTTTGTATCATGCTGAAATAATGACCAGGTAGGAGAAGCTGCACCAACATATTTGTGATTCTGGAAAATTGTCTGCAAGGTTTCACTACAGCGGTTTTCAATTTCTTTACGTAAAGATAATACGCTTGTCAACTTTATTTCTCGTCTAATTTATTAATAATTATTGTTTATTAAAAACGCCAAAATGATGTTTAATACTATATTAAAAAAATATGTAATGGAAATAATTAGTACTCACCGGGTAATAACATCATTGGTCTTTGATTTTGGCAACATTAATGTACTATTACTACTATTACTTGTGTTTAAGAACTTGTCAATTTTCTGTTCAGCACAATCTGTTCTTACCATTTTACTTTGTGAAACATTTGGGGAATTTGTTATTTTTAATTTTTGACTTTCTTTAATTTCTATTTTTTCATTAGACTTGTCTATCAATGTATCATTAGACATTGGCAACCTTGTCTATAAAATAAATTAAAATTTCTATTTTTGTGCTTACACCTATAGAGAATTCAAACAACGAGATAATATGCATTTACTTGAGTATAGAATGTTCTTGATGTATTAGTACCGGAAAGTTTATCTTGAATTGCATCAACAACTTTATCAATAACTTTATCCTCATGTAAAAAATGAACTTCATGTTTTGTTGGATGCACATTGACATCAACATTCATTGGATCCAGGTGTAAACTTAAGTATATGAATGGATGTGATCCTTTAGCTAAATAAATGCTGTAAACTTGATCCACAGCTTTTCTCAATCCTAATCATGACAAAAAGATTTTATGACTTAAGAAATTAAAGTGTATAACATAAAATATATAATTTAGATTTACCTTGGGAATCAACTAAACGATCATTTATAAATAATATAAAAATCTGTTTCTTTGCAGAAAAATTTGGATTTGACACGTAGCCTTTAATTTTAACTTTAAGAATATTACAATAATCATTCACTTCTAATAAAGCTCTGAAAATAAAATAATATAAAATTAAGTCCTCTACAAAGAAAATCATTATCTAAAGTAAGTAGTTATACATTACCTAGATATTGCTGAGCCGTAAATAGCTTGAATATTATCAATATGAGTAGAACCTTGATTTGTTTTTACTTCGGTCAATAATTCACCTTGTTTTTTTACTGTAAACCCAACCAAAGGATTGTGTATAGCATATCGACTCACCTTTTAACATTAATTTTGAACTTTCAGAAACCATAACATTTGTATAAAGGAATTATAGATGCATGCTAACACTTAAAAGTTATTAATTATTATTGTTATTATTTAATAATGTATAAAATAGTCAATAAGAATGATATTTTTTTTTTAAATATAATATACTTATGAAATAAATTTAGATAAAATAAAAATTAATAATACTAGTTGGACAAAACAAAATAAAAATGATTGTACTAATAAGATTTGTAACTTACAACTTCGACAACTTTTAAATGTTCTTCATTAAAACTTTTCATTGATTTTTTCCTTGTAGCAATATTATGGAACAAATCTTCAACAGTGATTATGGTTCCAACATTACCAGCACAAGATTTAGGTGGAGCTTTTAATTTACCATCCTTGTACAATCCTCTATCAAAAAATAATAATATATAGTTTTAACACTAAAAATAAAACATTTGGAATCATTAATAATAATTATTAACAATTACTTGTAAGCACAAAGAGCTCCATTGGTTTTTGTAGTGATTGTCAAATGAGCAACATGACTTATGCTAGCCAACGCTTCACCTCGAAATCCATAAGTAGATATTTTAGTCAAATCTTCAAATTGCTGTAATTTACTAGTAGTGAACCGTTCACATACAATACCCAAATCCTCAGTACGAATACCAGTACCATTGTCTTGTATCTAAAAACACAAAATAAGTTATTGAATAAATAAAATTAATAATTAATATTTTTTACCTGAAGTAATTTTAAACCTCCATTTTTCAATGTAACTTGAATATTTGTAGATTTAGCATCCAGACTGAAAACAAACGTATAAATAATGAACTAATAATCTAATACAAACTTTGGTGTATAAAAAAAAAAATTAATCTTAATGTTAACAATGGTTATACCACAGGTGTACATCATTAATGTATTTATATAAAAGATAGTAAACTAAGTAATTGTTCATACAATACTTTTGCCAACAATAACATAAATGTGTGTAATTAAAATAAATCTAATTCAAGAAAATATTTTATCCAAAACATGTAGTACACAATAATAGGTACCTATTTTCTAGAAGTTCCTTAAGAGCATTAGCTGGCCTTTGGATCACTTCACCAGCGGCAATTCTATTTACTACATCCTCTGCTAATTTTCTGACAATTGGTACTTGTTGATCCATTGTCTGTGGTACTGAATCTGATTAAATATTAATCATATTGTCTTAAAGAAACTTTGTCAAACATTTAATACTGAGTATACTTATGTGGGAATAGTCTAATACCTAATAAATATAGGTACTTACATTTGACTGTCAATGATATTATTTATCGTTAATAAGTGTTAAAAATTGTTGCTTTTTTCATTTAACGTAAGGAATTTTCATGTGACTTTTAATACCTTATATATTTCTAAAAAAAAAATTAGTTCTTAAAAAAGTAAAAAAGTCATGCATCTACTAGCACTTAGAAAATTCAAATACAGACGATAGTAACGGGAAGTGATAAGTACTTATCTAAAAAATGATAAGGACATATAGGACCAAAACATGAAAATTAGAGATAAGGATACCAAACTCCGTAGTCCGTACACAATATTGTTGGGGTGAACCAGCACCTCATTATTGTAATGATTTTTTTTATAGTTTTTAGTAGACAATAATAATTTAATGTAAATATTTTAAAAAACTTTTGCGACGACTTCAAATATTTTAGTAAAAATTATATTTGTAAACTTAATTTTAAGATGACTAAAATGGCTTTGGTCAAAACAGGAATCTGACCTAACAGGAAATGTTGATTTTGGGCGAAGCGGGTCTTGCTTATTAAAATTTAAGTATTTAAATCATCACAAGTATACTCCGTTCACCGGGAGAAAGTGGTTGTGCACAATTCAAAACGAGTCGTACCCCGCAGCAACTACCCAAAAGGCAAATCCCAAATGGCAAATGCTCCCACGATGTATACCCGTTACGTTGTGCTGTCGGTTGGTAATCGTCTATTTCCCACCCAGCTATTTTATTTTTCAAATCAAGAAGAAACGTAGGTGGATCGACGTTTACCACTGTTTAAAGTGACCTAGAAGCAGGGCCCCCGTGCCTAGGGTGGCAATTTTTTTGGGGCGGCAAATTTTGTAAGAAATAAAAAAAAAATCATATAAATGAATGAAATTTATATGAATTTTTTTTAGATGTCTGTGTGTAAAATATACGGGCGCATGACACTGAAAATGTCATTAACACGAAATCAATTTTCTCATAATGTGAGCTATAAAGATAAGATACCTAGGTACCTACATAATAATATAAGTTGTTCCTAAAAGTAATTACGATAAAAATATAATATATATAGAAATTGGCTAGAGATAAATTGTGTATCCACATCGCACACGACCTCTATGAATGACAGTCGTAAACGTTTTAGTGGTTCAGAGTATAAAAAGCAAGCCAAAGATAAAGAATATAAAGAGAGTAAAGTTCTAAATTTTTTTTCTTGGGGTAGGGGTGGAATATTTCAAAGGGCCTAAGGCGGCACTTGTTCTAAATCCGGCCCTGCCTAGAGGAAATAACCCTATGGTGTTAAATCAGGTGACTGGCGGTAACCGAACTGATCCATGTATCCATCGATTTGGAAAATGTTCATTGATGTAGTTGCGAACATTATTTGCATTATGAGCCGGGGCCTCATCATCTTTAGTTGAAATATTAAATGGTAAATAATGGTTAATTAATGATAAACTGTTGGGACAATCGACAGTACAAAGGGACGCTGAAGGGTAGACGATATAATGAATTTTTGATAATTTATAAGCTCCGAAGAAGACCTTATTCTAGTAATTAATAATTAATAAAAAATAAAAATTGAACTATGATTATTAATTTACGTTTATTACGTAAAATCCTATTATCCGCTTTGTGTGGTCGTACACGGCGGTCGCCTGCTATACTTAAGAAACTATGTAATTCTCCGTTGGCGTTGGAAACAAACTTTGTTTTTACAGTTCATAAAAAATAAATTGGGTACTATTAAAATAATCGGCTAAAATCATATATATTTTTGTTGGTCGATAGAAAATAAAATGCATGCTATAAATGTGGTAGAAAATAATCAAAAAACACATGCTCTTTTAATCCCAAAAAATGAATGGACCCGACTTAAAAAGATTTTGACAAAAAAGGATGACGATAGAGCTGCAATTGAAATGATAAAGCGGTTAAAAGACGAACGGCATGCTACATCCAAAGCAATATCCGAATCATGGGACACCACTGTATTGGTACCTACCTATATGAATAATGAATAAATTATGAAATTCTGTACAACTAAATTGAATAAATCATATGATTGTTATTTGTTAGAAATTAAGTTTGTTGGCAGCCATATTTATATGCTTCTATATGGACTATATAGTATACATGCTTCACTGCTTATATTTTGTTGGACAGACTTATTCATACATTTTTTCTTTAAAAAAATATTTATAAAATAATATCATTGTACCTATATAGGTGTTAGCCTGCAGTTAATAATAAAGTCACAATGACATAATTGAGTTTAACATAAAATTGAATGGGTAGGTATATTGTAGGTTGTGGTTACCGTATAAAGTACAACTGTATAAGTAACAGATAAACATATATATGTATAAATATATAATATACAAACTTGGTAAATTATGATAAAAAAACTATAATTTATTAGCTTATTTTATTCTTAGAACAAGCGAAAGAAAGAACTAGAAAACAGAAAACAATTATTAGCAAGTAATGAAGCTAGACAACAAAAAAGAGACGAAATCATGAAACTCGAGATTTTGGAACGCAGAAATGCTATTGTAGAAAAGGCACGGTTGAAGAAATGGTCGGATAGAGATTCAACAAAAGCGCTGACCAGAGCAATGCACAAGATGGAAGTATGGAGCACATTATTGTAGATTAGCTGTATTAACTGCACTATAGTATAATGTGTAGGTACTAATTAAGTGATAAATAGGCGTGAGTATAATTGTAATAGATGAACCCATATTATTCAATATTCATTTTATGCTATGGTGTATTTATATTTTACTATATACCTATACAATACATAAGTCATTAATACTACATATAAATCTTTATATAACACATATAAGCTACCTATATCCTATATACGCTTAGTATTTGTGGAACGGTATACGTATATTATAGCCTATAGGGCCATAGGCTACAGGTATCATTATACGTCCATAATATGGGTACCCACATATTTGTTATTGGTGATTACCACGATTAAAGATATGATGATTACTTATTATTGCTATACTATCAAAAGTATTGTTTTATATTTTGTCTCAGGTTTTTCAACTTACGTTACCCTAGTATTGATTATTCACGTGATATTATTCACCAGATGTGTATATGTTATGACGTATGATGGTCGGGTCTCATTATTATAGGTGCTCAGAGAGAGATCCATACAAATGAAATTCAATGAGGCGGAGAGAGCAAAGGAACTCGAAGCAGATCGTTTGTTAAAGATAGAACAAAATTTAGATGCTGAACGATATAAGACAGATCGATGGGAACAGAAATTAAAACAAGCTGAAACGAAAAAAGCTAATGCTGCTGTCTTTCTAAAAGAGTGAGATAAAATATTTGAAAATAATTTACTTTGTATTAGTTGAAACAATACTTTATATATTTATAACCACCGATATTAAAATAATAATCATCGTATGATAATTAGTTGACAAGCAGTATTTTTTTTTAAACTTATAAAATATTTACACAACTGCTAATTATTATAATTTATAATTATAATACTACCTATCATCTTTTTTACATTTATATTATATAAGTAATTATTATGGTGTTACAAGATTGAAAGAACGAGAGGATGTAAAGCGGGAAGATGATATTAAATTAAGAGAAGAGGGTAAAGCTGAATTACAAAGAATCGCAAATGAAATTGCGGAAGATAAAGAGAACAAAAAAGCTAAAGTTACATAGATTCTGTTAATTTGTTATATCATAAATATTATACCAACATACTTACATTATGTGTTTAAGGCTCTAGCAACAAGAGAAAATTTAATAAATCATTTGAATGAAAATAGAAAAATCGTGGCTGAAAACGTTAAGCTTCGTAAATTAGAAGATCAAGAGGAAAATGTAGTAGTATCAATAATGGCTGAGGCAAAGAAGAAAATAGCTAGAACAAGAAAACTTAAAGACATAGAAGTAAGTACTACCTTATATTATAAAATAATTAATATAAATGTATAAGTATGTATTTTCGTTGAAGTGGATTACTAATATGAATAATAACACAAACGACAAACGTATCCAACTAACCTAACCTGTGTGTTGTACATTGTACGTGTATCATTTAATTATGTTATGTTATGTACAAATTGATTAGGTAAATCAAAGTGTATTTTTAAGTTATAACGCAACATACCTACTAAATATCGGTTTCTTTACTTGTGATAATCATACTACTTCATACCTACCTACCAACTTACTATATGTTTAGTATTAGATGTCAGCATAGTAGACAGTAGTAATTTAAAAAGTTTAATGGAACATAGAATTTACATTTATTGATTTATTTACATCAGTGCTTATCCAAAATAGCAAACAATTAATAGTGTTAAACAATTTTAAATTTAAATTTAAATACGTATGAAACAAACATTTGTGGTTATATACTTATATGACATGAAAATGCTGAAATATAATATGCAGGGCCAAATTGGTCTTGATAACAACGAGAATACATAACTATATTTATATAATAACACATACGCTAATTCATAATTTTTTCCTTTTCATTATATAAGCGTTTGTTCATTTAATTCAAAATTAATAACTATTTAAAATGATAACGTACATTTTATAAGTATATAACTTAATAATATTTATAGTTATACAAGTAAATAAGTACATATACCGTTTACTTATTGTAACATTTAAATAGCAATTTTTCTATCTTTTTTTCCGAACAATCTTGAATGAGTTCGTATATTTTTAATGTACTTACCAATGTATGTTCAAGGGATGCAACAGATATCATAATATTATATCACATATTCAATCTTGTCACATTGTCGACCTCAAATAGTTTTTTATGAGCTTTCTAAATGATCTTTCACGCATCGCCACAGTTATTGGCAAAGTCCAAAATATACGTATACTCATTCCCACATTTGGATATTCAGCACTTTAAGAATATGTTGTAATTAATAAAATTGGAGTAAGGCTAATGGTGTAGTGGCTCTTAAGTCAGGCAAAAGAGAAAATGCTTGAGACTTAAAAAACATTTATTTCAGAGATAAAATCGAAAGAATTTAGATCGGTTTCATACTTAAAACTTTAAAAGATTAGTCAGCTGCACATTTTTGTTTATAGTCCATAAAAATCCAAAATTATCAGATATTTCAAACATATTTTCAAATCGATTGTTTAACTCTGTAAGAATTCAATGAAACAAAAAAAAAATATTTTTTAATTCTTCTGTTGAGATAAAACTTGCACATCATGTCCAATTAATTCGAAATCTAATATAAGCACTATAAAGATGCAATGTCATAAATAAATGCTAAGCAAATTGAATTAAACTACAAATATTTTGTTTCAATAATTTATTTACTTGGCTAGATATTAATATATTATATACTTTATATGAAGCGGCACACGAAATAACGTGAAAAATATAAACAAAAGAAATTCGAAGTTCATTATAATATAAAATAGTTTGATAGACATTTCTACTCAAAATAATTTCTCGCCCAGTATAATTCTGTCCGTTCTATTTCATTAAAAATAATACTAAGTAGTAAGTACTTACCTATAATCAATCGAAAACAAAAAATCGCTGACTTCGAAAGGATAATACTATTTCCAGAATAAAGATTTATGCGATTTTTTTGTTTTGCACCGTCGTCGATCTTAATTCATTTAAAAACATATTTCCAATAATAAAAATCTGGAAAACGAGAAGTAACAAGTGAATTTTTAATTTATTTAAATTACAAGTTATTATTTAGTTTAAATATTATCATTTTATCTCTGAAGATCGCCAACGACCATACCACGATGAATACACCAGTTCTCGTCCGATCACTGAAGTTAAGCAACGTCGGGCGTAGTTAGTACTTGGATGGGTGACCGCTTGGGAACACTACGTGCCGTTGGCATTTTTTTTATAAAAGCTTCATAATTTTTATTTTTCACACATAGACACCAAAAAGAGGGGTGGGATTTTAAAAGTGCTCCGGGGCATATAATTTATAAATACGGCCCTGCGAATAGGTTGTATAGTATACATCAAATACAATCACATACAACAAACATATTACAGGTTTTATTTATAATTAAAAGTTTGTTTGTAGATATTAAAAGAAAAACAAAAATTATTAGAAAAAATGGTTGAAACTTCAAACACATATCAGGATAAAGAAGAGGTTGCATCCCAGAACGCAGTCGAAGAAAAAGAGAGGAAGTTCGTATGTTCGTTAAGATTTGTTCAACTATTTTTTTTCAACCAGCCAAATAAATTATTGTTTAGGTATCAAAGAGAAGAACTTAAAAAAAAGGATTTGATGAAAAAGAGAGAAGAAGATTTCGAGGACAGTAAGAAGATCTTAGATGAAGAAAATAGAAAGGAAAAGGAACGTTTGACACTGAGTCATCAGTGGGAACTGGAAAGGCGCCTAAGAGAGACTGAAATGTTACGCTCACTTGAAGAATTACGTAAACAGGCAAAGACCAGAGAAATGAAGAGTTTTCGAGAGAATCTAAACTTACAGCGTGTAAAAACGTGACATCAGAAATTTGAATTAATTATTTAATGTTATTTTATTTGTATAGGATAACAATAGGGCGGCTACTAAAGCCAACGAACAGGTAGATCTTGATGAATATAACGCATACTTAAAACTATGGCAACAACAAGACGAGGAGTTTATGACCTATACTAAAAATATGATAGCCAAATATAAAAAAGCTGGGATATCTGTCATACCACTCATAAAAGCCATTGAGGTAAATCATATATTTCATAAAATCAAATAAATATTCATAAATAAACTCATCACTCATGTAATTTTGTAAAATATATGTTATCGCTGCAGGACTATAAGAAAAACAACAAACTACTCAGCGCGCAGCGAACACAGTCCGTATAATCAACGTTTGTAATTGTACCAAGAGCATTTTTTGTATACGCTTATATAGTAAATATTTGTGTGATACATATAAAATATACGAAAAGATAAGTTTATTTTATGTTAAAAAATTAAGGTATGTGAACGTATATTCATATATATTTCACGTGCTACAAGTACCAGTACGTCTATTCAACATCGATTGTCATTCATTATTGGTTGGTCTTTGAGGTGTTTTGTTTTAAATTATTTAAACAAGTTAAATGTTATAAAATGTTAAATCTGACCTGTAAAATAATTGTTAATAGTTAGGTAAATAAATACAAATGTGAACAACTGGCAAAACTGGGTAATAAAAATTGTGTTTTTGTAAAATGTTCAAATTTATGAAAGTATTGAATAAGAGATTCGTAAAATAATTGTTGACGATCAAACCTAGCGGCATTTTGAAGGTGGAATTTAAATAGCAGTTGTGCACTTATACAATTTTGAAATTCATTGCATATTTGCATCGTTCGTCTTAAATTCATCAATCAGCGTATACCCTATACATTTTTTTATGAAAACACCACTGGTCAGTCATTAATCAAAGTTACGTGGTGTAATTGTGTAAATAATTAGTAGTTAGGTTGATTCATTTTACGTTTACAGTAAGTAGACACTTATACGTATATAATTATATTTATTGTTAGTTCTTGGTCTATAACTCTATACTCTATAATAATTAAAAGATTTATCGCAGTACCATAGATTCGGTGTTTCCAAATCGAGTACAAAAATCATTATTCACTATTTGCCATTTGGGTCGAATTGTGTGCATGGTTTTTTTTCATTTTTGTGACAGAGTTGAGTTGTGTGCATGGCATTTTTAAAATAAATTACACAAAAAAGTATAAAAAAAACATTCTGCGATATAGTCATACATATCATTCGAAATACCAGTCAAAAAATCATAGTTAAAACAAATTTATTTCAATTTAAAAAAGAATCATACAAAAAATACTGAGTGCTATCAATTATAATATTATATATCAGTCAAAAAGTCAGTTTAAAACAAATTCAATTCAATTAAAAAAAGTTATATCACATAAAACCAGATAGTGCAACGATTAACGAATTCATTTTTTTAGTGAACGTTCCGAACGCTGATTCTTGATAAATCTATAGATCTTATTAATAGTTATTACTTATTAATTATTATATTAATATAATAGGTATTGCAATATTGCATAATAAAATATATTATCTAAGGTTCTACGATCCTTCTTTAGCGCCGTGAATCGTGATGAATACAATACGGATGACGACTCCGAGATTAACGCTGCGTAACCGTTATCAGTACGATAAACAATTTTAAAAAAAACACATGTTAATTAAACAATCGAACATTGTGAATGTTTTAAAAATTAAAATATAATAGTTCGGTTCATCAGTTATGGGTGTTCATGAAATTCACGGTTTAAAATGTATAATATTGTATTTGCACGATAATCGGACTTGTTGACTCTTGACATTGAGATCAATTCGCTATCGTAATTCGTAATCCACTTGCCGATCATAACCACGGATCAGAAAACACGGTCGAAGAAATTTTAGAATTAATTCTCTTATTGAAAATTTAGAATACAGTTTAAAGAATAAAAATATAAACAATACTGATAAATTGAGTAATTATCATTTATTAACTATTTAATTTTTTTTACTATTTGCTAAAGTAATATGTTCATAACTTATCAATAAAACGAGAAAAAAAGACCGGTAAAAAAGTCCAAACAAAAGAAGTTTAATGGAATAAAGGTCTATGGATACCAAATTGTTTTTAGTTGATAAACGATACGTAATCATATATTATACATTCGTATTATTTTTTAAAGATTCTTTTATATGATAAAATTTGCTTGTTTATGTATAAGGGTATTTAAAAAAAATGTAAAATACAAGTTAAATGTTAATTTGTACAAGTGTTAATTTAAAAAATAATAACACTTGTGTGTCTATTGTGATATTATTATATATATGTATAAATATTGAATTTTTACCAGACCTTTATTCTTGGACTTTTTTGTTGGACTTATAGTAGAATCCATTTAATTTTCATGGAACATTTTATGTTAGACTTATGATCAAGATTTAAGCTAAGTACAATGGATCACTTACAACAAGGTTGGTTCACTGAGTCCGATACATGGCCAGGTGCTGGTCTTTCATTACAAGTAGAAGAAGTGCTTCACAAAGAAAAATCCCCTTATCAAGATATCATGATATTGCAAACGTAAGTATCTACGTGGTTATTACAATACAAAACTATTGATCACTGTGGCTCCTTTTATTTTGTTAAAAGCAAGTCATTTGGAAAAGCTTTAATTTTGGATAACATAATCCAGTGTACAGAATTTGATGAGTTTTCATACCAAGAGATGATAAGTTTCTTGCCACTCTGTAGCCATCCTAACCCAGAAAGAGTTTTGGTGGTGGGTGGTGGTGATGGTGGTGTTGCACGTGAAGCTGTTAAACATCCAAAAGTTCTTAGCGTTGATGTTGTTGAAATTGATGAACGAGTAGTGAAACTTTCAGAACAATATTTACCATTTATGGCTTGTGGATTTAAACATGACAAGGTTACACTACATATTGAGGACGGGTTTGAGTTTATGAAAAACAATGCCCAACGATTTGACGTAATCATTACAGATTCTTCAGACCCCGTTGGTAAGTACTTTGACTTTTTATTGGGTAAAAATGTTATAAGTTATATTATGGTGCAATTCAAATTAATATTTTTTAAGGTCCAAATGAGTCATTATTTCAGAAAACGTATATTGAATCATTGAAAAGATCTTTAAAACCTGGTGGTATCATATGTTCCCAAGTTGGATCAATTTGGATTAAAGAAGATCAGGACACAATGATCAGATTATCTAAAGACTGTTCAGCAAACTTTAAAAAGGTTACTCTAGGCACTATATCTATCCCATCTTATCCTACTGGAAACATCAGCTTCATTTTAGCTACAGACAATGAGGTTAGAAAAGATTTCCCATACAATTTGATATACTATTATTTATTGATTTAATCATTATTTATTTCTCATGTTATTTCAGCTAGTGAATTTCAAAGTACCAGCATATAGTTTCACACTAGAAGAACTGAATGAACACAAACTCAAGCATTACTCACCAGATGTACATTCTGCTTCATTTAGTATTCCTAGATTTGCTCGCATGATTATTCCACATATTAATTGTTAATGTTGTTTTATTCTTTCAATATAACCACATTTATGGATTTAATTTTGTCAAATGCCACTTATTTGTTATGCTTGCAACTAAACTACCTATTTAAAATAATTTAATATTTATTATACAACAAATAGTATTAAATTGTAGTTTTTAGTTTTTAAATCACATGTTCTATTTTGTATCCTAACCACATGTGATCAATCTAAACTATTTATTGTTCAATTAATTGATTCTCATATGTTAGTATTAATAATTTAAAATTACAAAATACATAGAAATTATAAAAAAATTGATTTTTTATTTTATATTTTGAGTGTTAATTACATATTATAATAGATGATTATCATTTAATCCGTTTAAAAGTTTATCTATTCAGTTATACATCATATACTGTTTGTCATAATCAACCTGCCACCAAGTCTAATAAAATGCATTGCCTGGCAATCAATATTAGATATTCAAGAATTACGATTAATAAGTCTTTGTAACTTGATATCTTAAGTATTGGTAAGTGATCTATTTATTGAAAAAGGATAAATACTCCTTATAATATTTGAAATTATATTTTATTAATTATGTTTGTATGTTGTCTGCTCGTTACTTTTTTATTTTATTTTTATAGTTTCAAAGGTGTTCTTATCTTACGTACATTATTCACTAATATTAAAATATTGTTAAAAATTAATTTTAATGAAAGGTATATGCTATAATTTGGAGTTCTATTGTTTCACAACAATATATAAACAAATATTTACAATGGTCAAGAAATGACAATTGAAGGATGTATAAAAATTAGAAAATAATCTAATTTTTATGTGTTTATTTAATAACGTGTTATTATGAAAATATATATTAATTATTAACTGCGCTACTATTAATTTAAAACAATTTATTAATATATTATTATTTAAGTTTGGTTAGGATACATAATAAATCACTCTCATAAAGTTAGCAACACACACAAAAAATTTATCAAACAAATTTGTTGAACATTGTTGGATTTTATTACTATTGTGTTGCCAACTATACACACCAACAGCACACTTTAGTTAGCAAAATTTTTCTTTGTAAAAAATGTTGAGCTCGTTTTGTTGGACTATAGTTTATTAACCGACCAAAATAAAATCTTGGAAATATTTAAGAACTTGAACTTTGCATTCAAGTCTGGTGTGGAAATTCATAGATGTGTGCCTGGGCACCCCTCAAAATCGTGTAATTATATTTATAATTTTTTTTTTATTTATTTAAAAGCTTTTAGTATCAACTATTATATTTATTTTTTTTATATTTTATTATATTTTAAGTTCCAGAGCATATAGGCCATATTTTAAATGATGTACCTGATGCCTACTAAAATACAATGTATTTTTTTTTAATATGTGGCAAAAATAAATCATGTTTCCGAAAAAAAAAATACAATACGACAAATTTGTATAAAAATATTCTCTAATTTTCAAGTTTTTTTAAATCTCACAAATTTAATATTTTAATATTTCATAATACTTTCTACTTAGAAACTATATTAAGAACAAACCTAAGATGTTAATGTGTTAAACAATTAAAGTATTGAGATAGTACTAATAATTTCCTCATTAGAAATTACTACACTACACGTTTATAACTTATTAAAATAATAATATTTACTATTATTTATACGTATATTATACTGTTATACGAATTATTTGCATAATATAATACACTATAATACTATACTATATATATTATATATTATATTATAACAGAAAATATGATAAAACAATTTCCACATCATAATAAACTTCAAATAAGATAATAATATATATTAGATTCAAGGAAATATTATATAACTTGGTACTAATAATAATTATATACTTCTGATTAATATTTGCACCTACATGTCTTATTAAGAGAGGCCCCAAAAATATTGTAGGCATCCCCCGAAATGCAGGTCTGCGCACGCCTATGTGTGGAATATATATAGGGTTCAACTCGGTTTTCATTTGACTACAACAGATTTTTTTAAACATATTTTGTATGTTGTCAATGGCGACCAAAGGTGTAAGGAATCAATGGTTTCTTTTTAAACATGCAATGCTATACTAGCTGCTATTGGCAACAGACTTTCTTAACACAAATCCTACCAAGCCAACACTTAATTATTCACAAAAATCTAAATATGGAAATAGTTTACGTCGGGCACCGACATCCTAGAAATCGTGCGCTTTTAATATCAAACAAAGAATGGAAAAGACTGGGAAAAATTTTAACGAAAAAAATGGACGAAGAGGAAGCGGTGGAGGCCAGCAAACGACTGAAAGAGATGAGGCGAGAAACGTCCAAAAAGATGGTGGACGGTTGGGACAACACAGAACTGGTTAGTGAGTCTGGGTTTTAATATTTAAATAATACGTGTACCTAACTGTTAAGCTGAGTACACATTACCTGCAATAAAGGTATATGTCTGAATCTAAAAGGGCGTTAACGCGTGTGTACGCAGAACAAGACCAAAAAACTTTTGGAACAAAAACGGAAGGCGCTCTCCGAGCTGGAAACCAAACGGCAGCAGAGAGACGAGGAGATGAAGCGCGAGGCACTAGAGGCCAGGAATAGGATCATCGAGAAAGCGTGCAAACTGAAATTCGAAGAGAGAGACTCGACGAAAACGTTTTATAGAGCCCTGCAGCATTCCGAAGTTATTATTATGATTGCTATAATATTATTAAAACCAAACTTAGCAAAGATTTAATTGTCTTGTGTGCTGGCGACCAATTCGATTTTCAGGTGTTCAAAGAGAGGGCAATACAACTCAAGTTTAACGAAGCTGAGAGGGAGAAGAAGATGCAAAAGGACCTCGAGACGGCTCAAGAACAAAACAAGGAAGTGGAACGGTACAAAAAACACAGAGAGGACGAAAAACAAAAAAATCACGAGCTAAAAAGATCTAAAGCTGAAATGTTGTTAAAAGAGTTATGTAAATTTATGGGCTATTGACTGAGAGTTTCGTCATAAAATTATTAATACATGTAAATCAATTACAGACTAAAAGAACGTAGAGATAGCAGGAGCGATGAACAAAATGCGTTGCTTGAGTCGGGTAAGTTGGAATTACGGAAAATAGCCGAAGAAATCGAGGAAGCTCAAAAAAAGGCCGCTGCCGAGGTAAGAGATATAATAGTGCGATATTTTGACTATTCTTACTATCCTATACCTATGAATAGTTTTTTATAACTATGTTTTTTCCGGTGTGCGGACAACATATTATGTAGGCTCGGTCAGCGAAGGAAAAACTGCAAAAGGATATAGAAGACAACCACATTATGATAGCCAGCGAAGACGACGTGCGTGAGTCAGAGGAATGGGAAGAGGATATGGTCACTACCATCATGGCGGAGACGAAGAAGACATTAGCCAGAGCACGGAGACTAAAAGAAATAGAAGTAATGCCTTCGGGCTTCATCAGATTTTTAATAGCGTAATAACGCACAAATTCACATTATAGATTTGTGAATAACAATTAGCATTTCGTGAGTGGTTGTTTTTTTTTTTTAATCGGCTACATCAGATTAGACCATACCACTCAGAAGAACAAAACTGATCACATTACAACTCGTTTGTACAAAACGTTTTTTTGAATGAAATATGAAAGAATGCAGAATGATCTGCGTATATTATGTAAGACTGTTCAGGAAAAATGCAGTATATACTAGGCTTCTGCCGTCCTAAATAATATATACATATTAAATCCTCTTATACCCTAATTATATAAACAAAATAACAAGCTCCAATGTGACATATTAGGGCTATGGCGTAACTGTCTAGGCTTCAAATAATATGTCTTACTTTGTGCTGAGTAACTGCTGTGTACAAGCTAAGTGAACAATAATTACTATTCAATAATGAATATAGTTCGAATTCATTTTGTTTGGACAGCTAGTGGAGGTCAAGCAACTGGCACTGGAGGAGATGCGGGCGAGATCGGCGGCCTGGCCGTCGAAGCAAACCGGGTGGGCAGAGTCTGACGTGCTGGACGCCGTAGAAGCGCAGGAAAAACGGTCAGAAAATGCCCTAGCAGCATGCGCTGCAAGTGTAAACAGTAAACAGCATAAACCATAGTATATCATCAATGACCACCTGCAATCATGATAAATTTAATTTACCATGTCTGCAATGTATTTATAAGAAAATATTCTTACCCTTAGGTAGATACATATTTTAACGAATTGTAGGAAACTCCCCGAAAAACCAATCTATTTATGTATGAAAACTAGTGTAAAAACGAGTTTAACGAGTGTGTAAAACGGTGCTTAAAAACTAGAAAACATTTATTCTGGTATTAACACAGTTTAAAATTAATATTTTTGCAAAATACGATGGTTTTCAGTACTTTTTTTTCCCGATTATACCTATGTCATTAGTTTTTTTGTTTCCGGTACGCACTGACTGCAGGTATCAAGAAGGGGAGAGCAAAAAAAGAGAGCTTGCCAATAAGAGAATAGAACACGTGGAGATCGGCAACAGGCTATGGGAAGAAGAGATCTGCAGGCGACGAGAGCGATCGGCACAGAATCTTCGATCGGAGATGCACAGACGCGAACGCGAGAAACGGTTGTTGACAGAGTTTGCGGACTTGCGCCGGCGAACTCGAACGGACAATGCCAACCGGTTCCGGGAGCAGCTCGAAAAACAGTGCGTGAGTATATTTATAAATGTCTTTGATTTTTCTTTTTTCCTTTCGGCTGGACGGTTTTTGTAGCAGTTGTAAGACCTTAGTTCTGAGCAGCCACAAGGACTCCTATCCTTTACAACGTTTCCTGTATAGGTAACAATCGTTGGTGGAAAAGTCAAGTCATATTGTAATCCCCGAAAATGCAATTTTTCAGGAGATAAAAATATTAATAGTTTTGTTAAAAATTATCCAAGGAATGAACATTTGATTGGTAAATCGTGAAACACGTGTTTTAATAAATAATTATATGGTTAAAACTGAGAAATAATTTTCAAATTAGTCATTATGCTTCATAGTGAAAAAGTAAAGGATTATAGTATTTATTGGGTTACATTAATAGACCTATAATTATATTTTATTTATTCTGTGACTTGACCATGTTACTGCGGTGCTTGTGGCTTACAGTATTCTTAAGTGAAATTAGTTTGAATTTAGCCCAAAATGTTACTTGGAAAAAAATGTGCTCTACATAAAAAAAAAGTATTTAATCAGTTAAAACCTCAATTTCGATAAAACCTTCAATTTTATCATTAATTTATTCTGAGGTTACATCACTTGGCCTGTCCACTATTGAATTATGTTGGTTTAACCATTGTGAGTTTGCGTTTCTATATCCTTCTTTGTCATAGACAGTTTCATATTAAATATAATATAATAATAATTAATATGGTATGTTACTATACGTCTATAATCGTCCACAAAAGCTTTAAAAATATTGTTCCTATTATTTCTTTGTCAAGTAAGTACTTGAGTATATTTTATTATTTTCTATTAATCTACTTCAATAATCTTGAGTAAAATCACACATAACAAAATTGATAGAGAATAATATTTTTGAGGGAATGACGTATCGATTTATCTTAATATTATCTCAAAACGATTATTTAAATTCACAAAAAGTTTTTTTTATTTTGAAAGTCAAATAATAATACATATAAAACCAATGTCAAACGCTCCAATATTATCCTTTATAGTTTATGTAATTGGTGATTTTACCCTCAAGTTACTCACAAATAAAAAAAACGATTTTAGGCAAAAGCCCAGGATAAATAGGTTTTATCTATGTTGGAAGTGAGTATGAGAAACAAATATTGCACTGGTATTTTCTTAAATGTTGCCTTGCTGAATCACAATTAATTGTTTAAATGTTCATTAATTTTTTTTTAATCTACATTATATTAATAAACCTACTTAATTTTCTTCATAACTTAAATTAAATACTTATTAATGAAACATTATTTCATTTTTTCTTCGGTAAATGGCAAATTACACAATCAAGCGCTACATTGGAAGAAATGGTATAAATTAAATCAAGCATGTTATTTTTCTTCTTTGAAAACGTTCATTAATATGAAAATTGTATGTTAAATTTGTTGTTTTGGAGTAGAACGATAAAAGGATTGCATTGTTGGCAAATAGACAAGCTGATATAGATCGCCACTCAGCATTTGAACGTGAGTGGCAAAAAGAAGATGAAGAATTCATTGCATATACCAAAAATGTGATTGAGAAGAAGATATCAGTCGGCAATCCAGTTGTGCCATTAATTAAAACAGTAAAAGTCAGTATTATTTGACATTTGAACCACAATAAGAAACATTTAAAATATATATATATATATATATAAATTAAATTTTTAGGATTATCTTGAAAAGAACAATTTATGCATGAATGGCGATAAGGTATCAAAAAAAATTCCAAAAGGTCCAACCTATACATCAAGAATAATACGCCATATTTAATAATAATTTTTAAAAAAATATGTATTTAAAAATAAAAATTGTAAAAGTATATATAAAATATTAAATAGAAGGCACATTTTTCAAGTCTTTTCTTTAAAAACATTATCAACTAGTTATTAAAAATATCACAATAAAGATATATTATGTATGATTAGTTACACATAAAAAATCCTATGCTAAATACTTAAAAATGATCAATGCATAAAAAAAATTGTACCATAAAATACTACAATAAAATTATATGTATACATATAAATCTACTAATTATAATGGCACTAGATGGGAAACATTAAATTACTTAACACTTTATCCATGGCATTTTTTTCGGTAAATTGTAATGTGTTAGATCGAGTTGAGACTGAGTGAGATCAATTTTGGGTTGTATGTGTTTCACAGCCATCAGTCTCATACGATGAATTGCTATTAGACTAATAGCTACGATTCTAGAAATAGTAATTGAATGAATACAAATATTAAAAAAAATATTCAAATTCAAAACGATGAATACAATAAATACAACAAAAAGTTTTTGTATTCACTTGAACTTTGACATCTTTCTTTTGGCACAAATTCTTTGCATCATTGTTTTGACAATACTATTATCTAAGTCGGGCCATTCTTGAATGATAAACCTAAGTAACTTGTCTTTGCCTCTGGCCAACTTTACCAGGTACATCTTTTGCCAAACCAACGAATGGTAGAGAGCTTCTACTCGTGTAATGTGCTGGTTACCAACTACAGGCCAATGGTTTTCAACCTACAGTACATAAATATAGTTCATAGCATTATGTTTTTATATAATACCAGGTACTACCTTTTTTTCCAATAATTTTTTATTTAAATTTTGTACACAACATTTTAATTCCATAACTTCATTTTGTAATTTGTCCTAAAAATTAAAAATAAATCAAAATGATACAATATATATACTTATCAATGTCTTACTCTTGTATTGCAAAGTTCCACATTTTCCTGGACAATATTTTTTAAATTTTGACTTGTTAACATAGTTTTTATATCCTCTAGATGTGCTCTACATTTATTGTACTTTTCTCGGGTCTCTGTTAGTTTTCTAGTTAATGAAACATTTTCAGCTTCCAAATTGAGCTATATTATTTAAAAGTATCATGTACGTCAATAAACAATTAAATAGGTCAGATGATAAAATAGTATATTACAATCAATTTTGAGTGTTTCAGCTCCAAGTCAGCAGGTGTAGTTATGTCCTGAATATCAATTTTTAATCTGTTTTTATAGTGATCACTTAACGTAAGCTTGTTCTGCAACTCAGTAATTTTGTTTTGCAAATGTCTGCATTCAGCATCCAGACTTTCAAACTAATAAACATAAAAATGTGTTACTAAATAATAATATAATCAAATGTATGCGTTAATGTTACTTTGTGTTTAATTTCACAGTTCTCATTTAGCAACTCATTATATTTTTTCTGCCATTCAGTTGTAGTTTTTTCGGCGTCATCCAATTGTAGTTCCAAGTTATCCTAAAATTGTAAGTTTTCTTCAAAATATTGTAGTAATTAACTTAAATTATTAAAATATTGTTATAACTTATAAATTATAATGAATACAGCACAGCTCATAGCGATTACCCTCAGAAACCCCAGCCTGCCAACAATGTACACTTTTCTAAAAATTTACCAACCATCACTTCATACCTTAACTTAATTGCTAAAACTTACATACCTTCACTCTATCTCAAATAACATTAATCGCAGGCCACGAGCTGACAGACAGTGCACGACGGCGGGAATGTGCGTGACTAATGTGTATGTCAGCCGCCAAGTATTGTGCCCCCACAAAAAGGGGTTAGATATGAAAGCAAACAACAACACATTTAATTTGGGGAGTGGTTCTGACTAAACCGGAAGAAAATCATTCCCTGTCTGAGGTTACTTTAATTTGAGCCGGTATGTTTGAATATTATTCAAAATAATTCATTTTTAGATTTTAAATTTATACATAAGTTTGTTACATAAATTGATTATATTAAACTTTTAAGAAAAAGCTTTTCTGTAAAGTAAAAAATACTATAAATTATAACAGCTGTAGGTTCTTAAATCAGTGATAATTTTTTAATTTAGATTTTATAATTATAGTTGTCAGTCTAAATCATAATTTTATTATACTATTATCAAACTATATCACAATAATAAAATCTGTCATATATTATTAATTACATACAGAGAAACCAACAAATTTTGTTACCACAATCAATATAATATTCTAAGAAATAGCCTAATGTATACAATTTATATATTTGCTGATCCCGTGCACTTTTTTGCTCTTTAATGCCAACTCTATATGAATAATATGTTTTATTTTATAATAATTAAACCAAATAATATTGTTACAAAAATATTCAATTTATTTTGGATCATTATATATTTTTATTCGTTTTTTCACATTTGCCATGGACACAAGTAATTTAAAAAACAACAATTAAATACCAATAAGCAAATATCAAAGACGTATGTCTGTTCTTTCGGAGATGATAAATAATAATAATAATTTCTTTGGCGCTACTTATTATTATAAGTTATATTAATATTATTGTTATAAACCAATAGCAACGATTTATAAACAAACATTTTCATGGTAAATCTCAAAAACCCTGGTTGAGCAAATCCCTGGGTTGAACCTCTCCCTTTTTAAGTTAGCCTATCTTCTTCTCAAATGTCTAATCTCTCTGTACTAAATTTAATTGTAATTAGTTGAACAGTTTAGGAGTGCATAAAGGACAGATATTAATTGTTATACATATAGATAATAATACATATATGACAGAGTAAAATATAACTATTATGATTTACATTTTAGACTAACAATTTGCATTAAAAAAGGTAATAAATTAATATGAAGTTAAGACATCAAGACATGGTAAGATTAATTAGAGCAATTTGAGTTCACTTGGTTAATTAAAAAAAAATACTTACATTCTTTTCAGAAATCAATTGTATACCTTCAGTATTTTTTTCTTTTTTAATTACATAGTTCTTCATAATTTCAAAATCATTTACTATTTCCTGATACTTTTGTTTACTCTCCTTAAGTTCTTTTTGTAAGTCTAAAAGCTATAAATTAAAATAATTTTCATAAACACATTTATTTAAGCAAATGATGTAAATTCTATATTACTTTTAGCTCTAGTTTTCTTTTATCTTTATCACTTCTTGCTTGTTGATCTTTTATTACAATTGCTGCATTATCCAGTTGATGTTTAAATGTATCAATCATTTGATTTTTACTTTCTAGTTGTTCCTAAAAATGATCGATGAAACATATGCTTTATTAGTAACAAAAAGTTTTTAAATGTTAATTTAAATACATACCAATAAAAGTGAAATTTGGTTTTTATGAGTTTCAAGCTCAGCAATTTGTTTATAAGCTTCAATTAAGTGTTGGTCAGTTTCTTCTTTTATGTCTAAAATTCTATTCAATTCTTTATCTAACATTTCATTTGTATCCAATACTTTTACTAAATCATTTTCCAGTTTCTAAAGAAGTTTTTATATAATATTGTACATTATGAGGAGGTAAAATGTTATTACAATTTACAGCTTATCAATAATATTACCTCTACTAAATTATCATTTATTTGATGTAGTTCTTTCGCTTTGAAGATTTCAATCTTGTTCTCTAATTCTTTAATGTGATTTTCTAATTTTGCTACAGTTAATTCCAGTTTGGTATTTGTATCCAATTCAACTTGTATTCTATGCCTACAAAAAAAAAAATATGAGATAACTAATGTCTAATTGATATTGTAAATTATTAAATGTATGTCTTACATATAATCAGTAATTTTTAGTTCTTGACATTTTTTTATAGTATTCAAATGCTCAATTTCAGCATCTTTATTTTCAATATTTATTTGGTATCCAGTAGTTTTTTTCCGTTCATTTTCAAGATCAATTTCAAGAGCTTTTATGTTATCTTTAGGCTAAATTTAATTCAAAATAAACATTATTACTATATTTATTAATTTGACACTATATTATGGCAGTTAATGTACACGTAACAACAAATAGTAATTATAGAATTGAAAACATTGAATGTATATGAGAATAAAAGGTAAACAAGTACAGATTCAACAGAATACATTGAATATTATTTAAACAAAGTAGCCAAGAGGCAAAAAACTAAAATATTTAATTGAACTGGCAAAGCATTCTGTGTATGGCATGTATTAACCATACCAAGCATGATTGATTATAAAAAAAAAAATTGTGGTTTTTGATGGGTCATAAGACCAAATGAGATTGATGCGAAAAGATTAGGAATGTCAACTGCGACATTGAGGAGGGAATACATTTAAAAAGTATAGGGGGTTACTTAAGATATACTGAATAGTGTCATGAGGTGGGTGGAGGAATATAATAACAAAGGCATTATATGATAGAAAACAGTATAGAACCCAGTCATAATATACAAATAAATCTTACTTGGTTACTCAGGTTAGAGGTAAAGTTTTCTGAACCAAAGTCTGAAAATGTGCATGTCACTTCCACTAAAATCAGATTTTAATAAATATTAAGTGTTTTACATAACTTAGGGATGTTATGACAATACAAAAATATGATTAGCTTACATTCCTTATTCTCTTGTATACCAGACATCAATTGTTGTTGTTCTGAAGCTTGACTAGTCAATTCTTCAATGGTTTTTAATAATTCCATATTAATTTGATGTTTTTTATTCTGTTCTTCAGCCAATAAATTTTGATATCCAATTATTTCATCAGCATGCAACTCCTCATTCTTTTCCAATTCATTTTTCAATCGATGTTTATCCAATTTTAAATTTTCAATATCATCTTTTAGAGCTAGATTTTTACTTTTCAACACATCATACTCATTTTTCAATTCCTCCAATTTTTCAGCAACTTCTACTTTGAACTTTTCAGTATTCAATAGTTCATTTTTTAATGTCCAATTATCCTGTTGTAAGGACTTAATTTCTTCTAAATCCTTCTGATTTTTTTTCAAATAATCACATTCATTTAAAAGTTCACTA